CTCGTTTCGAGCTCGAATATTGTAGAACTCGGCTCGATTCGGCTCGTCTTGTTTGCAGCCCTGCTTAAACTATAGCAAAGGGACAAGATGATTTACTGCCGAATTGTTTGTAATTGTCCAATTATATAGTTTATGGGAAGACTAACATTAAGTAGGTTTTGTTGGACAATTTTCACTGTATTTAAATAAATAAATTCTGTTTGTGTACTAAACTACAAACAAAATACAAAAGAAAAATAGGAAATAAATTCTGTTTGTGTACTAAACTACAAACAAAATACAAAAGAAAAATAGGAAATAAGAGAGAATGTTTGATTACAAAAATCAAACTAGAATTAAAATAAAATAAATAAAAACAGATTTGTATTTTGTTACAAAAACAAAATTAAAATCTGATTTAAATAAACAAAAACAAACAGAAAATAAATTAACTTACTCAATTAATTTTTTGAACAAAATTCTGATCAAGTCCAGTGTTTGACACTGTGTCCTTAAGACAGATTCGTCCTCTCTACGGTGCTTTCACCAGGATAAAATGATCTATCAACGAATAAATGAAGCACTACAATTTATTCGAACATTCACACAATGAACACACTAAGTGTTTACACTTTTTCTTAGAAGGAAAATAATGCAGCAAAAATGCAGAGAAGGCAGGCAATATTTAGAACAAAATTATTGAATGAAAACATCAAATGGGCTAGTCTATTTATAGATGTATTGGCACCCTTTTATTTTGAATTGAACAGGTAGCATACCTGTTTGAACAGGTACTGAACCTGTTGGTTTGAATTGGTACTGTTTGGATTCAAATTCAAACAGATAAAATCGAATTGCACAGATTTAATTATGTCCGGGTTTTTTTGAAATTTAAACAGATCCAATTTTGTTCGGGTAAGAGAAAAACGGACCCAATTTTGAATTTTAATTTCTAAAAAAAAATTGAAAAAATTTGAATTTAATTTTAGAAAAATAAAATTCAAATGTTTTTTCCCAAAAAGATAGGGTATTGGGCCGAACAAGCCCAACCTCACACCATGCACCTGATCCCAGGCTCAGCCTAGCCTGCCTGGACGGAGGCAGCTTGCGCTTGTCTGGTAATTTTTGGGTCCAATGGGTCTAGCCCATTTTGCCCATAACCTCCCTCTCTACAAAGCTTGGGGGTCCCTTGGGGCCTACCCTAAGTTCCAACTCCAAGCCTTATAAACTCATTCAAAACTTCTCACCATATCAATGTGGAACAAGCCATTTTTCAAACCTTTAAGGATTTTCCACAAAAACTCCATTTTCATTGAGCACACTTTGACTTCAATTTCCCATTCAACCGATAATGGTTTTGAGCAACTAAATATACCACGTAAATCACAACGCGGCATAGAACGCATTATCACTTAGACCCGCTAACTTTGGTGTACGAGTCCCACCTAAATAATAGACCAAAGTTAGGAAAAAAAAATTCTATTTTTCCAGAATTTCCAAACCGTTTCTAATAGGTTTGGCTCATTTTCTATGCAGAATCAAATACAATTAAGACAAATATAACTTCTTCTTTTTTTTTCCTTTTTTCCAACGGAAATAAATATATTAAAATACTGATCAATATAAAAGACAGTCACTCTTGTTCTAAGAGGACTTATTTATTCAACCAATCAACAACGAATTCAAAAAATATGAGTAAAATTTGACCTTGCATAAAAGGTTGTTATCGGTAGCACAACTAGGGCTGAGCAAGAAAACAAAATTTACAAACCGAACCGGTTCAGACTAATTTGGTATGTTTGAATTGGTTTTTTAATTCATGGTTCAGTCTTGATTTGAAAAATTGGGAAACTGACTTCGGTGGTCTTGGATTAAGGTTCATGATTTTGAATTTGAGCAGAACCATATCGTATAACTTAAACCATATATATTTATTTACTAGATATTATGTTTATTTGAGTTAATGGTAGAATAATGCGCATAGCTATGTTTTGAAAGTTTTTGTTTCAAAATATCATAACAGATTAATGTTGAACAATATTTGTTTAATATTATATTTTTACAGTGAACAGAGTAGTTTGTTTGAAGGGAATGTTATTATTGTTTTTATAACTTATGATAAGTTAAATTTTTTTAAAAAATGTTTTATGATATTTCTTATGAACAGATTATGTGAAATTGTGTTTCCAAATCCAATTGAACCGTGTTTAAATGGTTTGGTTTGGATTGATTTCATAATTGTGATGGTTTTATTTGATTCCAATTTTTATGGAATCATAAACAATGAATTGATCCTAATTTCATCCCAAACTAATCCAAACTAATTTCAATCCAAACCAATCCAAACCAAATGCCCCTTAGCACAACCGTCGATTCTAAGCAAGAATTCGCCCTCTTTTTTTTACCACGCCGTTCTTCCCTGTATTGTTGTGCATTCAAAACAACAAATTATGAAAATATCTGAATTTTTGTACTTTTTAATATATATATATATATACATATATATCTGTATTCAATAAGTTTTTAAAAAGAATTTGGATAAATTTTTACTTTTTAAGTATATTTAGATTAAATGAGTTTAAAAATTAAAAAAAAATTGATTCAAAATATTTTTAGAAATTCACTAAAAATAAAAAAATATGGATTAAAAATTCAAAAATTTATTTTTGAAAACTCCAAATCAAACAGATTCACTACAAGAATAGTGGGATTTAACGGCGTTTATTTAACGACGTTTAAAAAAATGCCTCTGTTGTTAACATTTAACGGCGTTTTTATAAACGTCGCATTTTGTTTAACGGCGTTTTTATAAACGTCACATTTTGTTTAATAATACGACCCCGTTTTAATTTAAGAAGTCGTTTTTAAAACGCCTTTGAATGTGTTCTTTTATTTTTTTTTAATATGTGAGAACATAATGCAGCGCATTCACTCTCAGTCTCCCTCTTTCTGTCTAAACCTTGATTTCACTCTCTCTCTCTCTCTCTCTTCAAACCCCTTCGTATTTGTAGAACCGCAGCTGAACCCGATTCATGTATTCGAAGATTGATTTATAATCTATTGATCGATTCATGTATTCGAAGATCGATTCAAGTATTATTCACTCTCAGTCTTGCTCTCTCTCTCTCTCTAAACCCTTGATTTCAATCCCTCTCGCTTCAAACCCCTTCGTTTCAGAGACAACCCTTCATATTTGTAGAACCGTAGCTGAACCCCTCGTATTTGCAGATCGATTCAAGTATTCATAGATCGATTCAAGCCTCTTCTCTAGTTCGTGTTTGCGTTCGCGTTCGCAGCTCTTTCTTCATAGTAAGTATTGATCAGTCTCATCTCTAGCTTCTTACTGACGGAATCATTCAATTCAAGTATGCTAGGTTTCATCTACTTTATCATTCTTAGATCAGATTGAAGATCTATTGATTCGATTCAAGTATGGTAGGTTTCGATTGAAGATCTATTTATCGATTGAAGATCATAACGTGTATTGTAGATATTTGTATAGTTTTCACAGGTTAATATTCATTTGTTTTCTTATCAGATGGATGATTTGTAAATTTCTATGGTCTCAAAACATAATATGGCATTAATAGGATGTTTCTATGATGAGCTACTCTTTGGAATGTTTATGCTGCTAAAAGTGTTAATCCCAAATTAGCTGGGTTGGCTTGGCTTGGATATCCATTTTTTGCTGACAATCTTGACTGTGAAAGTAAAATGGCACTATTATTGGAATAAGTAATGTTCATACGTTAGTGCTTAATTTGACTCTGTTCATGCAGATGGTGATGGCTGTTTTCGCATACATCTATCATCAGTCATTTGTTGCATCAAAAAGTTTATCGGTTGAGATGATTTTGGACCAGGTAAGTTTGTGTACTAGAATGCTGATTTGCTTGTGGATATATTTTTACATTCAAATTCAATCAATAAACATTGGGAATTATTTTGGTGGCATTTCTGTGATGCAGATATTGATGAACCTCACTTCACTTTTTTTTTCTTTTATTTATTTTATTTTATTTTATTGTTTGTAGGAGATTTCAGGGAAACTCCTTTGGAGGTCCAATACCAACAACATTTTCCAACTTAACCTTGATGGAGGACTTGTGAGCATTAACTCTTTCAACATCTTTTGTTCATATTAGCATATCAATAAAACTAATCTTCTTTTTTTATAATAAACCCATGCTCATCTAGGAGAATAAGTGATTTATCTAATGGAAGTTCTTCATTGGCGTTTCTTAAGGATATGAAGTCTTTGAATCTCTTGTAAGGCGATATGGTCAAAGATTATCAAAGATTGTGGTTATGGTGTGGTCTATGATTATGTGTTACTTTCTGTTTACATTATTATTGTTGGTAAAATTGTCATAGGCTGAACTTTCTTTTCTTGCATTGTACTTGTATAATTTGAAGATATTGATCATGGTGGTTGTTCATTTTGAAGTGATGGCTCTCATTTCTGTACGATGTTGAGTGTTTTATTTTGATTTGAACAGGGATTGTGGGCAACAAGTGTATCTGGGTAAGGAACTTTGATCTCTGAATTTGATTGGACTTACATATCAATCTGGTTAGAAACTTCGTATTGTTACGACTAATGTGTTGCTAAATGTGCTTCTTCCTTTAAATATGAATGATTAATTGCGTAGGGGGATTTGACACTGCACATGCCGCAGCCAGGTAATAATGGTATTGGGTTGGAAGTTTAAACAATTTTATCCTCTGAAGTTTTTCTGTGATATGGGTTCGGAAAATTATTTTCAATTATCTTTGTGATCTCAGGGCATATGATCGAGCTGCAATTAAGTTCCGTGGAACTGATGCAGATATCAATTTTAATATCAGTGATTATAATGAAGATCTTCAACAAGTGGTTGGGGTTGATAAATGTCTAGTTGATACAAAAGCTTTCTTTCTATAAGGAATGTAATTGTGTTTATCTGGTTTTGATCTTTATGCAGATGAAGAATTTGACGAAGGAAGAATTCGTGCATGTACTTCGTCGCCAGAGCGCCGAATTCTCCAGGGGTACTTCAAAATACAGGGGTGTTACACTACACAAATGCGGACGATGGGAAGCTCGAATGGGGCAGTTCCTTGGCAAGAAGTGAGACAACACTGAACTGATTTTTTACATTTTCTAGTCAGATGTGACTCAAAATTCTATGTGATCTCCCAAATTCTGTATCAATTTTATTAACTTATATTATTAATGAACTGTGAAAATGGTCTTCATTGGTTTGTATCCAACACATTGCCTACAGGTATATCTATCTTGGGTTGTTCGACAGTGAGGTGGAAGCTGCAAGGTCATGATGATTAAAATTTTACTTTTCCTTGCTCTATATGTTATATTATATTATCTATTCTCCATCCGATCCAATTTAACTTTATGTTAATCAGGGCTTATGACAAGGCTGCAATAAAATGCAATGGAAGGGAAGTGGTGACCAACTTTGAGGCAAGCACATATGAAGAGGAGTTAAGCTCTGAGATTGAGAATGGAGGTATCACTTGTTTAATTTTTTGTGCTAAATCAGAAGTAGCAAGTTGTTGTTTAGATGTCAAAGCCAGTAATGTTGATTCTCGCCTAGTAGCATTTGATGGATGCATCTCTTTGAAGAGATTTTACAGTGCAACACATGGTTCCCCAAATTTCTTTATGGGGTGTTGCAGTTTTTCTTCACAGGCTGACTCAAAAAGCAGTGCACAAGAAGAAGATGATTTGGAGGATGGGTTTTCTGAGCTTGAGACTGCAGCTAGTGCTGCTGATATGGTTCAAGACAGCAATGTTGACGATTTAAACGAAGATCAATTGATTTCCGAACCAGAGCTCTCTGAAGAAGAATATGATGGTGATAGTGCAGAAGAACCTCAAAATGAGCTGGAATTATTTGATACTAAGGCAGAAGTAACTGAGAAAAGACCTCCACAAAAGAGAGCTTATTCGGCATCGTTCAAGGCTATCATGGCTGCTCCAGGTTTGTCTGTTCAAAGTGCTTTGGATAAGTGGGTTGAGGAGGGAAATGACTTGAATCAACCTGAGATAGCCTTGGCCATGCTCAACCTTCGGAAACGTCGGATGTATGGGAGGGCCTTGCAGGTAATTTGTCTCAATTCTTTTGTTGCATATGATTAATCTGAGTTAGCTTGTGTTAAGAGTATTTGTGCTTAAATCTTCACTTTTAAATTCTAGCAGTCTGTAATCTGGTTTCAATAAGTAGATGCGGTATACTGAATGTGTTAACCAGCCTTTACATTGATTTATTTATTATCTTTCTTTTTAATGTATTGTGGCTCTAAATCAGGATAACAAAGTTGGGAAAACTCTTAAAAGAATAAAGACCCTTCAAAAAGTTTTCTACCCAGAAAAACTATCATCACACCTTTATGTTTTTTAGAAAAGAATTCTAAGTTTTACTGTCGTACTGAAGATAACACTCCTGAGGGTTTCTGTTTACAACCTAGCAACAAAGCCGTAATCGCAAGTCCTAGGGTTTAAAGGATAATTTTTCCTCTTATGGAGTAAATAAAGTTTTAAGATTTTTTTTGTCCATTATTAATCAATCTTAGCCACTACTTCATGCAGTGTGGTTCTTCATGGTAATCTCTTTATATAATCATGCAACATGATATTATACATTCTTAATAGGGTGGAAAATATGCTGCTTGTATCTTTCTTCATCAATTGAATTAGTTGTCATTCTTTTTTTAAGTTGCAATTCATCAGAGATTAATCATTTTTGCCATTTGATTTTTATCAACAGCAACATATTTTTTAGACAACCCTGCTATGTGTGCAAGAAAATCATGTAATAGGCAAGGCAACAATCCTAGTACCCTTGAAACTAAAATTGAAACTGACAGTTTCTACATTGACTTGTACCCTTGAAACTGAAACTGACATTGAGATTTGCTGAGGTGTTAAATGCAGTAATTTAGTGGCCAACAACTTCACAATGGAAAGTTCAAACAACAGGTGATTCTCTCCCTGCTGTATGCTTTTGTTTTTATTACATACGATTCTGAACATTCAGTGAAACAACAACACTAAATGAAAGTTAGTTTCTTTCCCGTTAAATTGTTTTAGCATTGAACAACATGAGTTGGTTATCAGCACCTGCTTGAGCAGTCAAACATACGTGACAGTGCTGCTGAATGCAATAGTTTTTTGAACTTTTCATGATGCTGATGTGTGCTCATAAATTTATGTGAAATAATGATGATGGCACCTTTCTAGTTTTGAAGATATGGAATATTTCATTGATCTTATCTGTAGCATGCTGAGACGACCTGTAGAGGAAAGAAGAGCTTGCCAAAAAACCAAACATGACATGCTTGGTCTCCTAATGAATGGGGGTGAAGAAAACAGATATAATCTAACAGATGAAGAGATAATTGATCAAATGATAGCAATTTTGTATTCTAGATACGAGACTGTATTCACTCAAAAAACTCACTATATAAGATTTTTATTGGAAATTTAGTCCTCTTATATACAATATATTTTGACTGATAGCAATTTTGTGGCTTTGTATACAAAGTAGTAATTAATTTTTTGGTTGAGAATTGTGAATACAATTTTTCAATATGTTATTTTGGGGGTAATATTAAAATATCATTTGTGGATATGTTATTTTGTGGATAATGGTGATTGGTGAATGGGAAAGTGAATTAATGATGCATTTGCTATTTGAATGTAAGTTATTATTTCATATTAGTGTTATTCATTTTTATTATATGTATTTTTTTAGTTTAATCACATAAATTAGCACAATTTCAAAAAAAAAAAAAAAAAAGGAGATATCACGGCGTTTTTAAAAAACACCACTTAAAACTCAAAATATATTTTTTAAAAAAGATATGACGGCGTTTAAAAAATGTCGCTAAATATCATAATGACGTCATGGTATTGTCAAGTAAGACATTTAGCGGCGTTTTTAAAAACGCCGCCTATACTAATATAACGACGTTTTTAAAACGTTAGGAAGTTATAGCGACGGCCGCGTCCTCGGCGCTTGATGCTAAGCGTCACAAAAAGAATTGACGGCGTCTTTAACACTTATAGCGGCATTTTTTAAACGCCGCTAAAAGCTGAATTTCCTGCAGCGATTTTAGAATAAAAATGCTCAAAAATTAAAAGATTAAAAAATACTAAAAACAGTTTAAAAGATTGACTGAAAAATAATTATATATTTCAACTATTTACATCTTCCTAATAAAACTACACTTTGTTTGTTTCGACGAAAAATTTTTGTTATAAAAAAAAAATTAAAAAAAATATTCTCCACAGAAAACGTTTTCTTATGTTTGGTTGCATTCTTGAAATTAATGTACTAATGGTTGCATTATTGGTGGTGATAGTGGCGGCAGTAAGGTAGAGGTGATAGTGGTAGTGGTGGTGGCGGCAGTGACGCGGCCGTGGAGCTGCGGTGGCGGTAGTAGTGGCATGATGGTGGTGGTGGTAGTAATAGTAATAATGACGTAGAGATGATAGTGGCGGTGGTGGCGGCGATGGTAGTAATGGTGGCTGTGTTCAAGGTGGTGGTGGAGATTATGGTAGTGGTGGTAATGTAATGGCACGAATAAAATTTTTCTTCAGAAAATGCTTTTTGTCTTTTAAAAGTGAAGTTTTTTTTCCATCGAAATAAGCTTGTCTTCCATTTATCATAAAAAATGTTTCAAAAATGCTTCGGACCCCCACTGGGGGTCGACCCCCAGTGAGGTGGCGCGCGGTGATTAGGCAAAAAAAAAAAAAAAACTGTTTTATTTTTTTTTCTTTTTTAAGTTTCAGCCAGTGGGGGCACGCCACCTCACTGGGGGTGCGACCCCCACTGGGGGTCTGCAGCATCATTGAAAATGTTTTCCGCTAACTTTTGTTTTCCATTGTACCAAATGACAAAAAATACGAAAAATATTTTTCGTCCAAACAAACAGAGAAACAAGTCATTTCCAAAACAGGTCTTTTTTGGATTTTGAGTTTTTGAATTTTTTGTTCTTGATATTTTTGTTTTAGTAAATTTTTTATATTTTAATCAATTTTTTGTACGATACATTTAAAATAGGGGGAAAAAAAATCAAGACAACGAAATACAAAAAAATAAAAAATAAAAAAAATAGAAAACTCACAAAATGTATTTAAAATGAAATTGGATGACTGTATGATGTTTGGGAAGACAACAGTGTTGATTGTGGTTGCAATGGTGAATGGTTAGTGTTATGCACAAAAAGATAATACCCGTAATTAATCAGTTGTGACCAATAAAATGTCTAAACATCTTAAATAATTATAAATGAATACAATGTGTAAATATCATTATGTTTACGCTATATATTGTTTTTAAAAAAAAAAAGCACTCACATATGTATAAAGTAATAAATTCAAATAATTTTATTATTGTTTAGGAAAATAGTTATAAATTTTATTTTTTCTAATTAATTATGTTAATTCTGTTATTTTCCATTGGATTCGTAATTGAAACAAATTGAATTGATTCTAAAGAGAGAGGGAGAGAAATGAAAAAAATAAAAGGATTTGTTTGTTGTTGGTGGTGGTAAAAAGAAAGAAGAGGGAAGAAATGAGATGGGTTGATTAAGATTTTGATATCCATTATGATTAGTTTATTTTAAAATATAATTATTATTAAAATAAAATTTTATTAAGTATTTACACTGAGATAGGTAAGTAAGCAGTGTTTGAGAACAAATTTTTTAGGTTTTTTTTTTTTATTTTTTTCACTAAAAGACAAATTGATTAAAAAAATTAAAAAAATAAATCGAAATAAAATATCATATTAAACTCCATAATTATTTCACTTTTCTCTTACAAACATCATATCAAATTATAAAAAAATCTAATTATCTTTCCAAATACAAAAAAATTTCTTCAATAAAATCCTATAACTAAAAAAACTTACAAAAAAAAATTTACTTTCCAAACGGCCACGGTAGGTGTGTGGAAATAAACGTTGCACGCGTTTCCACTCCCTATTAGCAAGGCTCCTTTGCGTGGGACCAATAAAGGCTGTCCATCAATTTATTGGGTGGGACTTCTTTGGCGAAGGTGTTATGTTTATGGGAAAGGAAGAAATATACTTACTCAAAGTTTTGGCTTCTTCGATATATTTTTTCTTTTGATTTGATTTGAATTTTTTAATTTATAAAAAAATATTATATATTTGCAACTACTAAGACAATGATAATTTATTATTTAAAAAATTTAACAATATATGTGTAAGTCTAACATTAAAAAATATGACATAATATAAGAAAGACAAATAATAGGAAAGAAATGAATAATTAATTTTATTTTTTATATTTTATAATAGGTAGAAATAATTAATTTTTACATTCGACAATGATTAATTCTTGATTTGTCAATTAAGAAGGCATGCATGAATTTAAAAACAAATTATTTTCAATTGTGACATTGACACCTTTATTTATTTATTTATAATTTAATAATTAAAAATGCATTAAAATAAAAAATAATAAGATTCAAAGATAGATTATCCCGTATTAATAAGCCTCCGTTCGGGAAGTGGGTTGATTTTTTGGCTTTTTGACATTTTTGGCTATTTTAGCCTGGGCTAAAAAGTTTGGTTTGGGAAGGGCTTTTTGGTTTTTTGACTTTTTTGACTTTTTTTATGAGAGAAGAATGTAATGATTATGGATTGGATGTGATATCACTACTAGAAAATTGACCTTTTGCGTCTAATTTTTTGCAACTGACTATTTAACTGTCGCAAAAAAAGAAAATATTTGCAACCGTAAAAAAGATGGATGCAAAAAAATAAATGAATGAAAATAGGCCAAAACTACCTGATTTTACTTTGGTCAATTTATTATTCCTATTTCTTTTATTTATTTTATATACCAATGCCCTAGTCCCTTTCACTCTCACGACATTCACAAACTGTCTCTCTCGCTCTCTTGCTCGCCATAGTCGTAGCTCCAGCGGTATGAATCTCTGTCTTTCGGTCTCTCACTTTCTTTATCATGCTCTGTTTCTTTGATCTTCAATTTCATTTTCCGACTCAAAATTTGATTTTCTAAGTTGAATTTTCTCGAGAAAGATGCAGCCTCTACGAGATTTGATCGACGATGAAACAGAAATTGTTGAGTGAAATTAGGTTAATTGTTTGATCGGGCAAAGAGAAAAAAACAGAGAGATGAGAAGCACGAACAACATCGCTCTAGATACGATAAGTGCTGCTGTGACTGCGATTGCGTCAGCTGGGACTCAAGCTTCAGTTCAGGTAAACAATTTGATTCGAATGTTAACTATAATTTACGTTGCTTGTTGTGGTTGATGATTTGATTATCTCAATTAGATACATGAATCTCTTGAGTTTCGATTTCTAATTCAAAGCTCTGTATAATCTGAACATTTAGGTTCAAGGTCTGCTGATTATATATATGTTACGTTGATCATTTCACTTTGTTTGATGTAGTTTTTGGAAATTATATTTATTTAATGCTTTTTAATTTTTTTATTTATTTGTTGTTGTTGTTGCTGCTGCAAGTCATCCTCATCATCTTGAAATCGAGAAGGCAAAGAAGCTGCTGAATGTAAGAACTGAGATGTATCCTACAATATATATATATATATCACTTTGTTAACGTTATTGTTTGGCACTAAGTGCTTGAATGAACAAGTACTAATTAGCAATACAAATGGTAAATTATTATTTATGATAGCCTTTGAAGGATTTGGTTATGATAAATTTTATTTTTTTCTGTTTTGGAGGAAATAGCCATTGACATTGACAACCTGAAGCTCATCTTGTCATAATAGCTTGTGGCTTTGCTTTGGAGCTAATTTATATTGTTGTTATCTCTTTTGATAATGTTAATGTTGGCCTAAATTAAGAGTTAATGTATTCTCTGAAGCTCCATCATCGTTACTCCCAAAAAGAAGCACTCCTCGATTGCCAGACTTTCAAGTGCGTGCTCAAACTTGTGTACTGCTTGTGCATCTATGCATGTACAAATATCATTGTTTTGAGTCTAAGTTTGGGCCATATCTTGTGCAAATAAAATCTCTTGCCTCTTTGTGTGGCTAAAATATTCCTTCATCATGTTCCTTCTCAGGAATTTCACCTGAAGATGGTGGAGAGGGCTATGCAACATACATCTGCAATTTCATCATCTTCGGTTTCTTGCAGTGATACTGATAAGGTTTGTGATTGAATTTACCTACCAAAAAAAAAATTGTTATTGAATTTAATGGATACTTAAGTATACTCTGACACAATTAATATATTGTGTCCTTGATTGCGACTCTTGTGCCTAAGAAGGACACAACCCAGTTCCAATTAATATATGTATGTTTATGTTTATTTTAAAATGTTGTTAAATAAAAAATTGAGTTAAAAATTGAAAACTAGATTAAAGTAGTTTGATGATTAATTTTTATAATAATAAATTAAGGTAGTTAAATTAATTTTATATATATATATATATATAATATGTATATTTAATTTAAAGTGCTATTAAATAAGAAATTTAGATTAAAAGATAAAACAAGGTTCGTTTCGTTTTCTTACATTGAAATTTAACTTTGACTAATTTTTTTTTCCCCTTCTCCACTCTCAAAATATGCATGTGAAACAAACTCTCTATTAGTTTTGATGGAAATATAACTGTAGCATTTTAGTTCAAAACCATATGGGAGGTATGTGGCTATTTTTAAAAGATATGGAGGTAAAGTGCTATTTGGTCAGTAAAATGAATTTTGTCCAAATATATATATATACGCTCAATGAATTTTTTTTAAAATCAATTTAAATAGAATACATAACTGTTAACATTTAATTAATTTGATATGGCAACCACCAAAGCATGATTATGTCATATCAATGTCCATGAATGTTGAATAATCTGTTACTAATAACAATGCTAAATATGTATTATGGATTTTTTAAATGGTTGAGCTTCTGTGCCTAGAAATTCTTTGCAGGAAGTTGCTGAACCAATGCACATGTATAACATCTTCACATAACTTTAAAATATATACAGGACTTTTAAATTATTCTACATGCTTGGTTGTGGTCCCTTCACCTAAGAATGCTTGCTGACATGATCTTCTCCTTTATTGCAATTATTATATACTCGAAAATTAACAAATGTGGAGTTATGCTATGAAGTGATGCGTTGAGGATTTATTCATTTTAACAGGGACGAAATTTGGTGGTTATGGTTCATTTCTACCCACCTATCAACGCTCTCCTGTTTGGTCTCGTCCAATATCTCCACCAAAAAATCATAACTACAGCACGCCCAAATCCCCAAACATTTTGCACCTGGAGGTAGAAAATTAATGAATTTGGGCCTTCTTTTGTTTTTGTGAACTGTTCTTTGTTGTTAAGGAGGAAGTAGAACTGTCTTGGTTAAAATGGGAATTCTAGTTTACCTGAACACTTTGAGTTGTCTAGTAATACAGGGTAGCCGTCATAACTCTGTAGTTCCATCTAGTGCATCTCTGTCAGCGAGACATGGGTTGTCTTCTACAAATGCCGCATTGCTCCATTCGCTGAGGTCTTCCAATAATGATTTATCAAAAAGAGACATAGGCATGTCATCAGCACATTGTGCTGAGGAATCCAGTTCAAGATGTGAACTTGCGAAAAACTGTGCTCAGCCTTCTGACCAAAAAACATTGAAGGTTCAAATCAAAGTGGGTTCTGATAATTTGTCGACGCAAAAAAATGCTGAAATCTACACTGGTCTTGGCCTTAATATCTCGCCCTCTTCCTCGTTGAATGAAAGCCCCACCGACAGTGAAGGGTTTTCACACAAACTTTTGGATGCCCCAGAAGAATCCCCAACTAGTATTCTTCAGGTAAGTCATGTCCTTGTATCAGTTTAGTATAGTATTCCAGTTTCTTTTTGCCTGAATTGACTTGAAAATTATCAGATTATCTTACTTGTTTTGGCTTATATGTTGGAGCAGATTATGAAATCATTTCAAGTGCATGGCAATCTATTGTTATACCCTCGTCCGGATGATCTGATTTACATGATTGAAAAGGAAAAGCTTAAAGGAGACATTAAACCTAGACGTGTGATCAAGAGTAGCCAAGAAAGTTCAAATGGATCTGATTTTGCTAGGGGCAATGACAAAGTTTTAGGAGGCAAGAAACTTAAGTCATTTGAGAGAAATGCCTTTTCAGTGGAATTGAAGAATCACATTGATAAGGGCACTCAAAACGGCATTGGTGTTCCGTTGAAGAAAGAAACAGACATTGACACTTTGGCTTGTGAAGAACTTGTTGCTAATACTCTGAAGCTTCGACTTCTATCTAATTCATATTCTGATGTTGCCAACCGTGACAAGGGTACTGCAAGAGCGGCTAATAACTCTATGGTAGCTAATAAGGTGAAGGAATAATCTTTCTTTGATCTAGCTAAAGTGGAAACCTTGGAGAGATTACCGAACCAAGAGATTGGCTTGGTTGAGAAGCCTAATGGAAAGGCGGTGTCCAATGTTAAGGTTTGGGAAGAGAAGAGCACATATGCCAATAATTATCTGTCTAAAGGTGAAGTGGAGGATTTCAAATTGCAGAAGTATCTATTCATCTTTCTGGACAAAATCTGTGTGAAATCTTGTCCCACAACATTGTTGGTTATACCATATATCAGCAAAAATAAAGGATATTCTGATATTATTTTTTACATCTTATGTGAATTGTATATTTTCCCTCTTGCTGTATAGAAATAGGAAATAAATAATGTATATAAAGCCTTATTGTGTATATATGTTCCTAAGCATACATATGCATGTATGAGATTGTTACTGTTGGATACTTCTGTTCTTTAATCGCATCAACTGGAATTATGAGTAGATTAATTCTTGAAGACAAGAAAAATCCGAGAAGCTGAAGAGGCTACCCGCAAATCAAGGATGACAAAGGTTTGTGTTAGATCATTTGTGATATATATCTAATTAAAACTAGTTTAGACTTCCTCTTTTTTCTTTGCTTTTTGCGACGGCAACATAGCGGTCGCCATAAATAGTTTAGGCGGTCGCGAATAATTTGCGACCGTTGATTTGCCATAGCAAAAAGTATTTGCCACCCCCACATTCGCGACCCCCATTTGCCGTCGCATGGGCTGTCGCAAAAGGTTTTTTGCGACTGTATTTTTATTATTTGCGTCGGCTTGTAGCGGTCGCAAAAAGTGTTTTTTTTAGTAGTGTATTTTGTTTTTTGTGACTAAAATAGCCTATTTTGTCTTTTGTGACTAATATAGGTGTAAAAAATCTAACATAAAAATTAATTATAGAATTAGATACAATTTTTTCAAATAAAATTAATCTCACCTTTTTGTAAGTTTTGCACTTGTATAAAAAAAAGATAAAATATATGTTCAAATTTAAAATTAATTTAAGTGTGAGTAAAAGTAAAGTCACGTGGACGGCTGGTTTGTTCCAAGTTCCAACTAGTGCTAATGTGGGATGAAGAAAGAGATGGAAACGCTTGAAGGTCAAGGAAAAGAAGACTTCCTTACAAGTCGAGGAAAAGAGGGACATCTTTCCGGAGGGAATATTGAAGAGGAATCCTGAAATCTGCCCATTTGATATTTGCTTTATCCCATGCAGAAATTCTAAGTTTCTGGAGAATATTTTGAAATTTAAACATTTTCACGTCCTTAGAGTATCTCCGATCATTGTTGTTATAATATTATTGCTATAATTTGACATTATCAAATTATAGCAATGGTGCTCCAATGGTCATTTGTTATTCTGATAAATCTCAACCAATTTTTCTTCCAAGTTTGTAGGTATTGTTTGGATATAAGTTTTTTTGTGAGTTTATTTTTGTTTATTTTTTATCTTTTGTAACATTTTTTTACTTGTTTGTAAATTTTTTTTATATATTTATATTATTCCCAACTAGACAAATATAAAAAATAAAAAAATTGAAAAATTGAAAAAAATAAATAAATATAATTCACCCCACCAAAAAACATCTCATTACATATTTAATAATTTTTTTTAACTAGACATAAAAAATAAACAATTACTAATTACCCACCAACAATCATCCATCATTCACCCTTCATTCATTCAACAACAACCAACCACCAACAACCATCCATTATTAACCCAGCATTCATTCACCAACAATTATCCACCCAATAACCATCCATTATTCATCCACCAACCTACAATCACCCATTATTCATCCATCCACCCAACAGCTATCCATCATTCATCCACCCACAATTTTCTCTATAAATATAACACAATGTTTTCTACAATTTTCATATTCACCTCCCCATCATGTTCATATCTTCTAAACTCTCTGTATCTACCCAAAAGATTTTCTATAATTTTCATATTCACCCTCTCACCCATCCACCTATAATGAACAATTTGACTAAAGCCATATTGAAAGGAGATTTTGATGAATCTTTATCATTTGATGATGATATCATCATGATGCAACTGTCCACAACGCAACAACAAAGAATACAGACATTAAACCTAAACCAACAAACCAGACGTATTTGTTTCACAAGTGGTCGTCGATACATTAATCGTGAGAGGGACAAAGGCGACGAACAAATTTATAGAGATTATTTTGTAGATAATCCTGTCTATCCAGAAGAATACTTCTGAAGACGTTTTCGAATGAGGCGGTCATTATTTGTTAGTCTCTTATATGATATTCAACAAGTGAATGAGTACTTCATCCAAACCCGTGATGCCACTGGTGCTCCTGGATTATCTGGTGTACATAAGATAACTATAGCACTTCGGATCCTGCAATATAGCATGCTTGTTGATGCTGTAGATGAGTACATTAGAATCGGCGAAAGTACTACAATTGCTGCCTTGAATTTTTTTACCAGATCAATTGTTGCTACCTATAAAGCCGTTTACTTAAGATCCTCAAATGAAACAAATGTCGCTAGATTCTTGCAAGAGGGAGAGCAATGCGGGTTTCTTGGAATGTTAGGGAGTTTGGATTGTATGCACTGGCGTTAGGATAAATGTCTAACTGCCCAAGCCGGTGCTTACACTAGACACTACCACAAACCAACAGTAGTAGTCGAGGCAATTGCCTCCTGTGACTTGTGGATTTGGCATGCTTTCTTTGGCATGCCTGGCTCTCTAAATGATATTACTGTTCTTGACAAGTCGCCTTTATTTGCTGAATTAACTAGAGGGCATGTCCCTGCTGCCAACTACACCATCAATAATCACACGTACACCATGAGGTATTATCTTGCAGATGGTATCTATCTTCGTTGGGCAATGATTGTGAAAACAATATCTCAATCTCAAGGCGCAAAGAGACAACTATTTGCGAGGATGCATGAGGCATGTCAGAAGGATGTCGAAAGGGCATTTTGAGTGCTCCAAGCACGATTTAATATTGTTAGAGTTCCAGCTATAGGTTGGAGTGATAAGGATCTGTACTACGTCATAAAGACGTGCATTATTTTGCACAATATGATCATTGAAGACGAACGTGATATTCTAGAAAATGAACGCAGTGTAGCCCAAGTTGAGACTAATACCAGTAATACCCGTTGTCAAGTGTCATGCGATTCGAATGAGGAGTATGCTCAATTTATGTTGAATCGGAAAATGATTAGATCTACTGAAGCCCATAATGCAATTCGTAATGATCTAATTGAACACTTTTGATCTCGAGCTGGAGAGTTAGATTAAGTTTGTATTTTATCTTTTTAATGACAGTTAATGTCATTTAATGTCTTTTTATTATAATAAAATTATCTTCATTTAATGTCTTTTTATTTTATCTTTTATTACCTTCATTTGAAAAAATATATTTATTTTTTTACATTATACTTTATTGAAAAATTTCATTACATTATGAAGTAGAAAATACTCAAAAAAAAAAAAAAACATGAAATTTCATTACAAAATAAAAATTACATTGCAAATAAAGACTAACAATTACATCAAAAACTAAATGACATTGCAAAATTTAAAAATACATTATCCCGTAATTATTCACCAGGCGGTAGGGGAAATAAAAATTTGGGCTGCTCACATTTGAGGACCACTTGGCAAAAATCTCATTTTTTCGCATTGTGTAACACGCTTTCATCTAAGGGTCCAAATGAGAAATGTTCGTAGTCATTATTATGTGTTCTTCCTTTTTCATTTTAAAGTCATGTTTTTTCATCTCAAGTTATTTCATCTCTTGCAGTGCTTGAATCATTTTTTCTTCTCTTTCCTCTTTTTTCTTTTCTTTCTCAACAAGGTGTTGGTTAAATGTCTCCAATTGTATGCTCATTTTTTAGACTTTAGTTTCAACGACTTGATTTCTCTGAAATAATTCTTTTGCAACTTTCCTACTCATAGGCCTTTTACCCCTTACAGAGACACTACGCTTACCAACAATTGGATTGTTACCAACACTTGGACTGTGATCGTCTTCAAGAGAAATGCAATTATCCATAGGGGAATCGGGGGCTGAATTAGGGATAAACGCTGTATGCATCCTTGACTTTACCGTATTCCTATAGGAGCTACATCTTGCCACCTGATATTGTCTTAAAAGATTGGCCAACAATGTTCAAAAACAAAATGTTTGTTTTCATCTTGATGGTATAACAGTTTTGCTTGAAGCATCAGTTTAAAAAAAATTGAAACATTATTTAATTAGTTAACGATACAAAAATAAGAAACTAAACATAATAACTGAAGATGAAAACTTACTATATCAACTTAAGAAATCCCACTTGGGTGAAGATTTTCGACTTACACAAAATACCCCCAAAATTTGTTACAACATTTCATGATTATACCCCATCAAGATTGAATAGACACTTGTGTTCTGGATTGATCATTCTGAAGCAAGCAATAATTTTCATAAATTCTCTCCCAAAAGTGAGCATATGATTGCGAATTGCCACCAATTGGGTCTTTAGAAATGTGTGTGACACCCTGAACGTTTAATTAAATACCACCTAAATATTTATAGTTAAATATAATTATGGTTGTATGTGATGATATATTATTAAATAAATATATAAATTTAATTGGACATTGGGTTATCAAATATGAGATTAATTAGGGATTATTATATGGGGCCAAATTAACACAAATATGGAATTATAATACTTGTTGGGCAAAATTAGAGTTAAAGATAGTAAATACAAATAATATTGATAACAATAATAATAAATAAATAATAATAATAACAATAGAGATAATAATAAGCTACCATATTTGATAAGGTTAACAGTAATTAATGAGGTTAATTAACTAGCATTTAATTAAGGAGATTTGTAAATCCTCTAGGAGAAGGATGATATGCCACCTGTATTGTCTAGGCCCTAGGAGAGGTGAGTCACCATTTGTTAGGCATCAGGTGCTGTGTATATATAAGAGAGAGTGGGGCTACGAATTGCATAAAGGAAGGAGGAAAAAAAAGAGTGGCAGAAAGGAGGAAGGAAGTGATCTCGATAATATAGGAAAAATAGGAAGGAAATAGTAAGACTCAATCTTAAGATGAGTTATATTATACCTTGAGTTACCATAATAAATTTTACATATGTTTTGACTTACCATAATTTATTT